TTTATAAATAAAGATTTATTACACTAATAGTCGTTGAAGTTGTTTATATAAATATGAAAAAAAAATCATAATATATTCTTAAATTTTTTTGCCAAATTTTGTAAAACATTATTTAATACAGTATCGTCAATTTATCGAGAAAATATTTCTGGTACGTTTTTAATGGATTTAATTGAAAAAATTGAAGTTTATTTCCATCCATTTATGTATCAAATTCGTTGATCACTAATTATAATGTTTAGTTATAACTTTGCAACCAAAGTTGTTGGTTTTTATCAAATATATACGTTAATTCATACCATTTTTATTTTTATTTTTTATACAATAATACATAAAAGTTGATCTAGATTCGTTCATTATTTATAACAAAGTCATAAAAATATTAAAAAATCATTTTGAAGGTTAAAAAAATCAGTTTATTTAGATTTCAGTTTATTTTAGTAGTCCGCAGATGTTAAAAAAACAAACAGTCTTCTTTTTTCAGACTGCAGACGTTTGGTCCACCTCTTCTACTGCAGAGGTCTACAGATGTGGTCCGCAGACTGCAGACATTTTGCGTCATAAAAAACAAACAGCACCTTAGAGTGGTTGTCTATGGATGCAAAATCAACAAATAATAATTATTATATATCTAACTAAATGCAACTGACAAATGAACAGTAGGTTTTTTCATTTTATACTTTTAGCACAAAGATTTTGGATATTGCCACATTTAGTCCCTAGAGGTTTTTTCTTTACAAAAAGGTCCCTATGTTTAAGTGTGGTTTGGATATTGCCACATTTAGTACCTAAAAGTTTTTTTTTTAATAAAAAAAGTCCATGCGTTTAAGTTTTTTGTATGTCAGGTATGTTTGACCTCTAATAGAAAATTTACAGATTACATTCCCCACAATATATTGCCATGTTTTGTCCCTATCTTTTTTTGGTTTCACATTTTGGCCACATGAATTTTATATATTTGCATAATTGCCCCCTATATTTTTGTAGTTACGTAAGTTTTGTCCACCCGTAAAACAGGGATAGTAACCTACTAGTTTACAACTAAAAACTAACGATGTAGGACAGAAAATGTATAATAGCACCCCATCATATTTCATTAAATAAAAATGGATGTTAATATAAATATTCAAAAACAAGATAAATATTCAGAATAAAGTCCCTTGTAACTATTACATAAATATACATGAGGTGATAAAGTTATTCAACGACAATGATCGTTGTAAAGCCATCTACAATATTCATCAATAACCATTATAATTGTGGGTGTCACATAATCACCATATTCCTATCATTAACCATGAGATACCTACCATTAAACACACCATGACACCACTCCATCTCATTTTTTTTAATTAAATTTAATTCAAAAATACATTAAAAACATATAATTTATTAATACTAGTTTTTCATTAAATTAAAATATCACATTTCATTAAAAAATAACAATAAAAAACAAAATAAAAATAAAACACATAAAACTACCAAACATAACTAAAAAAATTACCCCTTATTCCTATATCGAGCTCGAACGGACTATTTCATCGCGAGAAAAATCTACAAAACTTCGCCTTCAAGATCGTCCACTTTCATCTTCAAAATCTCTATATCGGTTTTTGTTTGAAGTGTCGTTTGCGTCTCTTGGAATGACGTTTGCACTTCTATCATTTTTTGTTCCACCCGACTCAGCATCTCCGACTTGGTTTCTTGAATGTGGACATATCGATCAAATTTCTCTCCAAAATGATCGGTAACACTAGAACCCGTAGCCGACAGATCGATTGGATCATCGTTGATTTCGATGTGTGTCCGTCCGTCCGATTGTTGGGAAGTTGCATCTGGGTTGGGGTTGTTTTTTCATCTTGAAGACATCGAAATCGTTTGACCCGCTTTTGCGGATTTTTTGGAGGTTGTTGTAAATTCCTCAAAATTCGGTGCATTTTAGTCGAATATCACGCCACTTCGAGCTAATTTGATCGTGATTTCGACTTTCTTCCCGTTAATGCATAAAATACACTTCAAACTTTCTTCCATAAACAACTGAATGTTTGATTATCTTTTTCAATTGGGTCTTGGGAAGCCGAAACCCACACCTTCGCTAGCTTTTTTTCTTCCTCTTTTGTCCATGGTACCCTTTCGTGGGTACTGAGGCGAGCCAGGTTTTTTTTTTTTTTTTTTTTCCTTTTTTCTTTTTTGGTTGAGGTGATGGTGGTGAAGATTGTGTTTCCAAAACAAAATCTGACGAATGAGGTGGTTGTGATTGTGAAGGTGGTGGTTGTGACGATTGTGAATGAAATTGTTGAAATTGGTGGAATTGTTGTTGAAAGACCGAAAATGGTTGGAATTATTGTTGAAAGACCAGGAAATGTTGGAACTGTTGTTGAAAGACCAGGAAATGTTGGAATTGTTGTTGGAAAAGTGGTATATGTTGGATAAGGGAACCAGTTTATAGCGAATTCATAAAACCACTTTGAAATGATTCCATGGTTATCTAACACAAAAGCGTTATCAGATTTGTGGTTTCTATAGTTTTGGGGGATATTTTGGTTGGTAACCATTTTTGTTGGTTGTGAAAATGTTGTGTGTATATTGTGTATAGAGAAAGAAAAGAATGGTGTAAAAAATGTGGGTGTATAGTGTGGTATTTTGAAATTTATCCGTTCATCAGCTTGTTCAACGGTCAAAATCAACCGAGCCTTCCCATTCGTCGTTGCACTTCGTCCTCCCCACCACAAAGCTCCACAAAAACGTTGGACCACGATCGTCGAGGATGGTGTTCACGGACCACGAACGTGGCCAGCTAGACCACAAAGTCGTTCGTTTTAGGTATACATGATGGTCTAACTTGCAAAGCTTTACAACTAATTTAAAAGCATACAAAATCTTCGTTATTTTTGTGGAAAACGATGATTAGTGGTGTTGAAGGAGAGGGAGGCAATAACATTAGGTAACAAGAGCAGTGAGAGGTCGATAACATTGTGATATTCACAAGGATGGTGAAGGGGTCTTAAAGTGAAACCCGGGCAGAAACACGACCAAGAAATAAGTTCATAAATCATAATCAATTATGACTTTCAAACATTAGTACAGTATCTATATAATAAAAAATATATGTTATTTATTTTGGATTTTCGGATATCCAAAAATTTATAAAACTACTATCCCAGTCCGAAACCAAAAAACCGAATATGTGAAAGTTAAGTCCCAAGTTGTTTCAAAATTAAGCAACAATATGAAAGGATAAACCAAATTTAGCACAGTAAACACAGCAAAATGATGATTTGATATAAAACAAGATAAATTTATAAAGTTACAAATATAAACTTATCAAGTTTTTAATCCTTCAATTTTAGAAAGACCTCCTCTATCAGGGAAGATGAGTAATTGGTATTTCAATTAAACTGCTGGACACCAAAATCTTGAAACCTAAATCAAAATCACAAATCCAGGGTTTTTTTTTTCTTTCTGAACCAGTTGACCAAACCAGGGATAAAAACTGGTCTCACTTAACCTAAAATCCGACGTGGATACTTAGTTTTCTAAATTGTCCTCTTTGATTTATAGTTATGAAACTTCCACTCTCTTATTATTATTATTATTATTATTATTATTATTATTATTATTATTTTTGCAACCAGAATAACAACTCATTTCATGGTTAAAATAATTTCTCTACAAACAAAATTGAATTAATTTAACAAATACAGATTTCATTCAAGAACAAAACAACGTTAACAAACTACAGTTTCCAAAAACAAAAGAATCTATACATCAGCCACCACGATTAGATAGGACTAATAATTGTTGTAAAATGTAATTTTCCTTACTTATAATCGTTCCTGTTTTCACCATTTTTAATTATGCAAATCAGTAACAACTTATTGGCTACAATATGAAGGAACAATCTATCAAGAAACATTGACGAGCTCTTGAGAAAACAACGCAAAAATCTTTGCAACGCTTTTCATTTGTAGAAGAAAAATTGACACAACATTAACATGCAACATACAAAAAAA